TGATTCATAAACTGTGCACCGCGGCTCCCCGGAGCGCCGTGGCCTCTTTACAGGCGCGCCGCGAAATATTGTAAAAGCTTTAATTTGTGAAAATGTGCAGTGATTTTCGGGTTCAGCCATCACATTAATTATTAAATATTAATTTAATGTGTATAAAGTAAAAAAAAATTAATGAAGATACACGAGTTTTATTTATTTTTATCTCTTACTTACGAATAGTCATGCTTAGGGTAGTGCGCCATGGAGAAATTTTAATTAAAAAGGGCGCCGTGACCATGAAAAGTTTGGAAACCACTGCGTTAATGTACAGCTGCACTAGTAATGTCTAAGCCGTTGGTAAAGATGAATATTGGAGTCATGCCACAGGGCTGTGGTATTCTTCCTCGCAAAATGATGATCCTATCTTTGGAATTAAGATTTTATTTTAAATTGCACTTAGTGCCGCCTGAAATACATAAAGAATCATTTTAAATGTTCCTGTAATTCTTTTTTTCCTTGATTAATATTAATTTTGGTTTTATATTAGATTAGAATCAGCTCTCTGTGACTTAGTAAAGTTGTAAAATGTATGAAGTATTGAAGGGAAAACCTCCGAACCTTAAATGTTTCATGTATTTAAGCCTGCTATTTCTTAACAGATTTGTAAAAAAAATGCCCATTTTAATGCATTTTATGCTAATATTTAATATTAAACAATTCAAAATTGTGTTGGCATCAAGACTTTCTTTACTCACTGATATTACTGTATCCTAGATAATTAACTTTTTATTACTTATCAAAAATATGATTTTTATCACTTTTATCATATCCCTATCACTGCGGCATGTTCTAACTTAGGCAAAATCGGGATAATTCCATAGGATCATATTTATTTTTCGGTAATACCTCCCTTGTTAAAGTAATAGCGAATATGAATAAAGTAAATCTCAAACACAGGCTCGGCAGCAAATGCTATTCACTTCATACTTCGCAATCTAAATCTAAATAATTAGATGCAAATTCAGCCCGGATATTGGATATATTCACGCAAGAATGTAACGCCAGCATAAAGGAATTTCCAGGCCTACCAGTAATTTGGTAGCTCTAATGGGGTACTTCTATAATAAATTCACTGATTCAATTATCCCATGTCGATAAAATGGGTTGTTTCATAAATTGTCGAAGATCTTTATTCGAAATATTTGATAAATGGTTTGCATATATGCTTTTCAAGTGCTGTGTTTACTTGGTGATAATTGTACAAGTACGTTTCATACTCTCATCTAGTAGGGCGTTCAGAAATTTATCGTAAATATCTTTAGGGTTATGGTTGCCAAACGCTAGGTAATGAAAATTCCTACTCTTTAGCAATACGATTTTTCTTAATAAGCTATTTATAATTGTAATATTCTACCATAGTATACTTATATAAGATTTTGGAAATAAGCTTAACTAATGTGACGCTATTTAAATATAATACAAATTAAATTAACGGCTTTAAATAAGAATATTATTTTTTATTGTCACTATATTTGCTCATAAAAGCCAATTATTATCAAAGTATTCATGCTTTTAAAAATTGTCAACTAGGTGCTTTATAATATCTTTGAAAATAGGCGTTGATTCAATTGCCCTGCTCCATGCGCGTATTTGTCACTTCCTTCGGCCCCTTCGGTGATCATAAGGTCAACCCGAGTAGCCAGGCCGTCAAGAAATTAAAGGAAATATGGGAGTCTAGAAGTGAATTATCGGGAAGCGACTTGGAACTGAACACGATTACAGATGTACAGGTTGCCTACGACACTTGTAGAGATCTCACTGAAATGTTATGGAAAAATAGACCAGTACATTATTTATCATCATTACTTATTATTTTTCTGTTTTTATTTCCAAATTACAATCATGATCACTTTACTATACGGTCTTATACTAATTTGCTGTGCTCCGTGTGATTTTACAGGACCTTGTTATCCATGTCGGATTGAATGCTTGTTCTACCTCTTTAAATTTGGAGACTAGAGCATTCAATTCTTATTACGATTCTCCCGATATAAATATGTCATACTGTGGCTGTGATGGATTCTGTGTCCCCGGTGGTCCCCAGGAAATTCTATGCGGACTAAATTTAAAGCGAACTTGTGATCTTCTATGTAATAGTGGAAATCCATGTGAACTTAGTGATGATCCACATACTTTCCTATGTGGATTTATTTACTACTTGTTAGTGGCTTTAAAATAGCAAAATTATATTTTGCACAATGACTTACTAATAGTTTAGCCTTTTAGATCACTCTCTCGCAACAGAGGTCGTTGTGCCTTCCTGCATGTTCCTTGCATATCGAATTTTTGGACTCAGGATCGTCTGGCTGAGGCGCTTATTCTGGTAGCCCAGGATCTTACTTCTCAGATAATGATGTCAAATTCAGATATTTCCTCATTTGAATAATAATTGTTCATTCTTTTTATATTTTAAAACTGCATACATCGGCCGAGGTACGTGACTTCTGTATTATGTAGAGCCATACTTTCTTAAATTAAGCGAAGCAGGCTGCACCCGGCTGTCATTTTTGCTGACAATGTCTTGCTCATTTTCCGTTTTTGTTTCAATAATAAGCAAGGTAAGTACATTAAACTCCAAAGAATAAGCCGGGATTTTATTCTCAGGCTTTTTTGCAAGACCCAACACTTTTAGATGCGTTTCGTTTGTGCCAAATGGAATGTCGAGTAAGTGCTGAGAAGAGTTTTATGCCTTAGAAAATGAGTACTTGATCTTCGTAAATTCTTATCGAACATTAACCCGTCGTCGTATATATTGCACTCGACATTTCTACAAGTCCAAGACTATGATAATAAATACCTGACCCGAAGTGCCATACCACCTTTAGTAAATTTCAGCGAGAGCGAATTAACTGGCGGTATGTAGCGGTGCAGGGGACTTTTTTTGTGCATAGGCTTCTCTTCTTATGCTGGGCCGGACTGCTAACTTACAAAATCTTGAATCCCAAAGTGCTAAATTACCTATAGCCCGTGGGCCTTAACACGACCAGGCAATGATAACCCGTTGGTAAAATAAGCAATTTAACTGATATAGCCTTGTCCGTTTAAAATGTTTTAGCTTTCATATTGTGGATGTTCAAAGCAAGGTTTAGTTTTCATGAAAATTTTCCCATTTTCTACTCTTGGGGTAATTAGACTTAATAGGTAATTTATAGAGTATGTTGAAGGCGATATTGTCTCCTTTAGTTATAATTGTAAGTACTATCACTTGTATTAAGGCTTCGAAAAAATATAAGTCCATCGTGAATTTATTTGTTTTATCTCAAAGTTATGAATATAAAGATATAAGAAGTTTGTCAAACCAAGTTGTGAACTGTATTTGGCGTTACGCTCTGAAGCTGCAAAAGCATCGAATACGAATATGGAAAATAGTACATCACAGTTTATTGTGGCTTAAGAAAACAAAGTATCAGCGGTTTGTAGAGGGTTCCGAGCTTTCGCTTCGTGGATGGATGGCTAAACTTGTCCTCTATTGTTCGGTAAAGGTAGGGTGCTGCAGCAAAAATGGATATGAATAGTGGGAAATTAGCTTTGAAAAAATGATGAATTCACGGGAACGAAACCACTGTAAATGCGCTATGGCTCTGGCTTCGAGCGATAGGAGATATACAGCTGCTCATTGCTCCGTCGTTGGATACAAACCCAAATCTGGGAAAAAGAGGGTTTGCGAAGATTGGTCGACAGAATAACTATGGGGCCTGAGAGCTTACCTCTTCTGAACGATGCAGCTAGCTAGTTGATACGTTGCTAGAGTCTGGCTTATCTTTTGTACCTAGAAAGCAATAAAATAGTTAGGAAATAACAGCGCTTTACTTTCAGATAAGTACTGGATTTGAATTGAAAAAGTAAATTCGGACGTTCGATTGACGCACCTAACCTGGAGCCTCTAGGCGTCTGACTTAATTCAATTTTCTGAAGATAGTCTATTCCATTCACTTAGGTCCCACAATGGCACTGGAGTAATCGCAAATATAGATTCATATGAAAATAGTTCTCTCAAGTCACCAAATACCCGATCATATACGACACCACTATTGAATTCAACGATAACTCGGCGTCCAGCATGATAGCCCAGTAGGGTGGCATAAGTTATACCAGTCTCCTTATGAGCGTGGTATTTGTAGTAAAGAAAGCAGGCTATGAAAAAGGGGGAGAAATTTGCAAGCTTTGTCACAGCTCTGGGTGATGTCCCTATCCCTGAGGTAGACACTTGTGTAAGCGAGCTGGATGTTTAACCTCGCTGGTTTTGAGCATTAAAAATGCGAATTCATCAAAGATTTTCGAGCAATAAGGCCAATCTGAGGCATGTTGGTATCCGAAATGGCGCTCCATGACTACCAATATTCTCCATTGGTATCTGTCTGTAATATATCAACTTTCATCTTTATTTGAACTTGTTTGGGCTAGGCAGCCCCATAAGCGTGGAGTGTTTCGTGTGCCAGTCAGTCACTCTAAGGAGTTAAATTTAGCACACAGTAAAGAAACGCACTAGCACAACTTAATTGCCCTTGTCGTTTCTCTCGCGTACTTTAAGGAAGAGTAGGTAATATCGGTCATTTGAAATTATGATGGAGA